AAGTGCTCTTGCCTGAATTACTTCCTGCTTTGCTCAGAATGCTTGATGAAACGAATGAATTGGTGAAGACGTTTAGGCGTATTCGACAAAATCTGCAGTTATCCTCAACACCAAACCTTCGACTTCGAATATTTGGAATCAAAAGCAGAAATAGACAGTACGACTTACCGACAAGCAGTGACATTGCAGCATTGATACCAGGTGATTTTGTGCCAGATAGGGAGGACCGAGACATCATTGTGGACCATCAAGGTGAAGGATTGAAACGTATTACAAGTCTTAATCCAAAGTTTGAGGCGCTGCACTTCCTTTACTTTTCCCATATGGGGAGGATGGATTTCATCCTCAAATTCCATATAACAGTGTTTTTTGTCCACCATCAATGAGAAGAAAGTTCGTCACACAAAGAGAATACTACGCTTACAGACTTCAGTATCGAACAAATGAGGGACATACACTGATCCAAAGTGGGAAGGCGCTGCAGCACTATTGCGTTGATGCATTTTCAACAATCGAGCTCAATCGGTTGGCATTCTTGAGGACACATCAAAAAGACTTGAGGGCTGAAGTGTATCAAGGATTGGAAGATGCATTTGCAAAAGGAGATTTAGACGGTGAAAAAATTGGCCGAATTATAATACCTTCTTCGTATACAGGAGGCCCAAGATATATGCAACAACTCTATCACGATGCAATGGCAACCTGCCAATATTATGGAAATCCAGATTTGTTTGTTACATTTACATGTAACGCTCTTTGGGAAGAAATCACAGAAGCCTTTTCCGATATCGTGGGCACAAGCAATGAGCTAAAACCAATGGTAGTTTGTCGAGTCTTTCATATGAAACTCAACATGCTCATTGATGAAATCAAAAGAGAAGGATACTTTGGCAAAACTATAGCAAGTACGTGCTCTGAGAACTCTTTTCTGGTTGCATTATAAGCTGTCAAGTTCAAATAAATGACCATTTTTTTGTGCAGCAGTAATATACACAGTAGAATTCCAGAAGAGAGGGCTCCCACATGTGCACATGCTTATATGGTTGGCAGCAGAAGACAAACTAAAGACAACAAGCGATATAGACGAAATGATTTCAGCAGAAATCCCTGATCCTCACCTAGATCCAGAGGGGCATGCAGCTGTTGTCAAGTTCATGATTCATGGACCCTGTGGCATTGACAACCCGAATGCACCCTGTATGAAAGACGGAAAATGTTCAAAGCACTTCCCCAAAGAATTCTGCTCAGAAACCGCCTTTGATAAGTTCGGGAATGTGGTGTATCGACGCAGAGATTCAGGAATTCAAGTACAGAAAGGGAAAACAATGGTGGATAATAGGTACGTTGTTCCATACAACCGGAACTTATTAGTCAGAGCTCAAGCTCATATTAATGTCGAAGTATGTCATAAAGGGGGATTAGTGAAGTATTTGTTTAAGTATATCACTAAGGGACCGGACAGATCTCTCATCATTGCCGAGGATTCGACTACTTCAGCACAAGTTCCATCCACAAATCCAAAGAAAACAAAGGATGAAATACAGGAATTCATTGATTGCAGATCACTATCTTCTTATGAGGCTGTATGGAGGATTAACGAGTACCCTATTCACCACAGGGAACCAAACGTTGTTCGCCTTGCTGTACACCTACCTGGACAGCAAAATGTATCATATCGAAGACAGTCAAATGTTAGAAATGTTCTAAAGAATCCAAAAGCTGGAAAAAACTCATCTAACTGCTTGGTTTGAACTGAATAGCCATGACCCTGATGCGAGAAAGCTTACATATGCTCAAATACCAGGTTCATATACATGGAATGAAGAATACAATGAGTGGACTCCAAGAAAAAGAGGGTTTGCTATAGGAAGAATTGCATATGTTCCTCCGGGCAGCAGCGATGTATTCTTTCTCAGGTGTTATTGACAAAGTGCACGGAGCCATGAGTTTTCTTGCTTTGAGAACTGTGAGAGGAGAGATTTGCAGCACTTATGAGAAAGCATGTGAGAAATTAGGTCTGCTCTCTGACTCTTCAGAGTGGATATAAAAGTCCTCCAAGAAATCTCAGCTTCAAGCATGCCACACGTGATAAGAACAACCTTTTGTTTCAATGCTTATGTTTTGTGAGGTACCTAATCCATGTGCTTTGTTTGAGTCATCATGGAAATTAATGAGTGAAGATCATGCATATTCCCTTCGAAAACAGCTCCATTCAACAACATATCAGCCCACAGATGAGAGGCTGCAAAAATTGGGTTCTTCATCAGCTGGAGAGTTTGCTGGGATCTCATGGTTCGTCATTGGAACAATTCCACCTTCCAAGACCAACAGATTCAGAATCGGATGATGGATCAAACCCCCTTATTAATCAGCATCTAGACTTTGATGTTGATAACGAAAACAGCTAGCAGGACACGATGCTGCATTCTCTCAATGTACAACAGTTTGAAGCTTTCTCAGCTGTTATGCTATCAATCAACAACAATCTTGGAAATCATATTTCTTATATGGCCACGGAGGAACAGGTAAGACATTCCTGTATAATGCCATCATTGCAAAACTAAAAAGTTTGTCAAAAATAGCAATTATTGTTGCCTCATCTGGAATCGCAGCAACTCTCTTGCCGAATGGTACCACTGCTCACTCAAGATTCAAAATACCTCTTCATGTAGACAACACATCAACCTGTTCGATCAAAAAGGGAACTCACTTAGCTGAACTCATACGTGAAGCTTCATTGATAGTTTGGGACGAGGCGCCGATGACTCACAGGCATGCATTTGAAGCAATCAGTAGGACATTCTGTGATCTGATGAATGTACCTTTAGTGGGAGCAGGCCATAAGTTATTTGGTGGTAAAACAGTTATTTTTGGTGGAGATTTCAGACAGACTTTGCCAGTCATCACAGAATCTGGAAGAGAACAAACAGTTGATGGATCAATAACTAGATCAGTGTTATGGCCTGCTTTTACAGTGCTGAAACTAGAAAGAAAACATGAGACTCAATGAATCCCTTGAAAACAGAATGATGATAGGTAGTGGCCAGAATTTTGGACAGTGGATACTAGCTCTTGGAGATGGAAAGTTGCCTACAAAGTGTTTAGTACCCAATGCCCCCTCAGATTGGATTGAAATACCAAGGATGTTCTTGATTGCTCCTGGAAACAATCCAGTTCAATCAATAACAACAGACATATATAACTCATTTGAGGAGAATTACAAGGACAACAAAATATCTCAAGAGTAGAGCAATTGTGACACCGACAAATATTGTTGTCACTGAAATCAATGATTTCATGTTACAAAAGTTGCCTGGACTAAGTCATTCCTACTTTAGTGCAAATTCAATGCAACTTGATACAGAGGTGCCAGAATCGTTCAGTGAAACATACCCTCCTGAGTTTCTCAATACATTGACATTCAATGGGGTCCCGGATCACGAGATAAGGCTCAAGGTTCATGCTCCAATAATGTTGCTCAGAAATTTAAGTCCACCAAGTGGATTATGCACGGAACAAGAATAATTGATAACATCACTCGGTGAGAATACAATCATAGGACACATTATGGGAGGATCATTTGATACAAAACCTGTGGCGATTACCACGAATTGTGCTCAACATTGAAGACAAGAGGTGGCCGTTTGTGCTGAAAAGGAGACAATTTCCAGTACGCTTATGTTATGGAATGACCATAAACAAAAGTCAAGGTCAAACACTTGACAAAGTTGGAGTTTATCTACCTAAACCAGTGTTCAGTCATGGTCAACTATACGTTGCTGCATCCAGAGTCAGATCTGCAGCTGGTCTAAGATTTCTTATCATAAATGAGGAGGACATGCCAGATAATTATACAAGAAACATTGTGTTCTCAGAAGCCTTCACGGATATTAGCACAAATTGAATTCACAAGGTAAGCATATATCAATATGTTAGATAACCTGTTAGAATTCATTAGATACGATTTCCAGTTAGATCATAGGACAATAGATTTACAGCATTATATGACCTTTTAATTAATTCAAGTTTCGTATAATGCAGGCTTGAATCAGCATATTTGAAATAGAGGCGGTGGTGGGTAGTTCCAGTCCGCCAGCACCTCCTACTTGCGCCGCCGGCTATACAGGTTTGGATGTAAAAAGAAAACAAGATGAAAATATAGCACCATCTTAAATTCTGGGAACAGCTTTGATGTTCTTCATGTTCTTCAGAAGTTAATTAAATTAAGTTTGAGAAAACTCTTTTGATCCATTGAATTGCAACTCTCAACAAAATTGTGTTTGTTGTAAACGCCAAGCCTGCCGCCGTTCACTTATCAGCCCTGGGATCTAAACATATCGATGGCCACAAATGGGCCGAAGTTGGAAGCCCATAAGGCATATGAATCCACATTATTTTTCCAACCAGTATTATATTTCACTGTCGCGATCTGGAAGAGAACAATACTGCTTTGCACTTTCCCTTGGGCCAATCAACGACATGTAAATCTCTTGAATTGTCAGCCAAACTTAGTTCATTATGGGAAATTGGGAATGGATCAATTAAGTCTCCATGGTGCCTTTCACTAATCGAATCACACTCAAGTTTACTGTCTCTACTTATTAAAAAACAGCTAGATCGAACCATGACTAAAATTGCACTATTTCTAACCAATATAAAACCATTTTCAGGTACAGCATTCTCTGTTAGATTAACTTATGAAGACTGCTTGGGAAAACATACATTGATGTAGACTCTGAAATACAAAGAAAATAACACAATCTACTATAGTTATGTGAATATGAAAATAAAAATGTGAAAATCATATATCGCTGAGAATACAACTTCATTCACCACTAAAATCGTACTAACCCATTAAGCTCAGCTAATAGTCAGGTAACATAGACACATTTTTGCCTAAAATTATGTTGACAATCCCACACATCCCAGCGCAAAGCGCGGGCACTAAAACCTCGTAATAAGAAAAGTAACCGACCCGGCCAACGGCCGGGAAGAAAGCTAGTTGATAATGAACTTTAATTGTAGAGTTCTAGTAATCCCACATTACCTTCCCACATCGCAGTTATCACATAATCGCGTAGTTGCCTAGTTCTATTCCCACATTACCTTCCCAAATCGCAGTTATCACTCCGGCTTCCCGTAATCCGTTAAGTCTCACATCATCCGGTCGCCGGTGAACGCAATTCCATGGAATGGGCAGACGGCTACCATTGCAACCTCTGCCAGTGCGGTTTGAGAAAAAGAAAGTGATTGAAGATCATCACAAACGAGTACATCCCAGAGGCAATGTTTGTAGTAAGTGCTTCTTTGTCTTTGAGTCGGTGGCCGATCTCGAGGTACATCGGTACCGAAAAAGTGCACCATGGGTACCACCCAGCAGCAGCACCTCAGGGGCAGAATGCGGCCGCTCCAGCCGGGAATCAAGGAGACGGCCAGTAGGTCCACCTTCTTTCGCAACCGAGAGGTAATCATCTTTGTCATCTGGAATTGTTGCTTGGGTAGGGTTTTGTATTTTGTTGCTGTGGAAACCTTCTTTCTCCTTCCCGCAACTGGTTAGGCCGTTTCTTTGATTCTTTGGCTATCGAAGGGCTCCGAGGTAGAGGGGTGCCGGAACCCATAGGTGAACGCAGAGCCGATCCCCATTCCCCGAATCACAGCAGCTCTGGAATTGCAGAGGGAGCCAATGGTGATCGCCGGCGACGGCGTGCGGCCTTGGAACTTCTCGGCTCAGCAGGGTATCAGACCAACACCGGTGAAGGCGACGATAGTTTAGGACTTGGCGAGAGAGCCCTGTCTGCGGCAGGGGCCGCTTTCCTATCCTATCGTCGATTATAGTAAACCCTCTTGGTGTTGTGAATAACGGCGTCGACATGCGACGACTTGTTTGGTTCTTCGTGTTCTTGAGATTGGAAAATGATTTCCGGGGAGAATTGCGACATCTTTGATCCTTCATATTGTGGATTGGCGGGTTGAGCCTCTTGCTATGTGGGTTGTGTGTTTTCTGGTTTTTTCGTTGCGATTGATGCTTCTTGGTGGGTTTTCTTGATTTGGGGATTTCGTTTCATATAGCATAATAGTTTTACATGGAGATAGTTTGGAAGAATACAGGAGTTGATTGCATTGATGGGGGCTTTCTTATTGTTCCATTGAAAAGACGAGGCTGCAAGCACAGCCAGCTGGAGTTGCTTACTCTCATCCACTTAGTAATGTTGTAAATTGCATGGCTTACTTTGGTCCAACCATGGTAGATATATCTTCTACTTTTTTGCTCCAATTGCTTCTGTCAATCATAATTTCTTGTTCAGAATGCTCCATTGAGTGACATTCAGCCTTGTTTGGCAGTTGTTTGCTGATCTTAGATGCTCACCATCTTGTAAGCGTGCTGGACTTCACGGGACACTGTCCATGTGGCCTCCTGATTGTTTTCGGTACAAAGGAACCTTCTATGTCTTCAACAAGATGGTAAGACAGGTGTGTCATCGGTGTTACTATTTGCATTCAATGATGTGAAAGTGGTGTGTGTTTATCCATTCTTGCATTTGTTTTTTTTTTTTATATTGATCGAACACCAATTGTTGAACAAAAAAGGTGATACTTGCAGGTAGGGTTTGCCAGGCTGTGGAAGGGCACAAATGCGGCTCTTCCTCTAGCTGTCCCAACTGTAAGTTTCTCCTGATCAGTGCAAGTATGACAAATGCTTTGTTTTTTTGGATGTTGGCACTCTTGGAAGTGTAGCTTTAAGCTTATGGTGGTTCACATCCTGTTTTTTGCAGGTCGGCATTTACTTACTCTTATATGATGTATTCCGCATCTGGCTCGAGGAAAAAACCTCTGAGAGTATTCCTGCTGCAGCCCCATATGCTCCCTTGGTAGCTGGCTCACTGTCACCTTCATTAGCTTGTATGACTTGCTATCCTGTTGAACTTGCCAGAACTCGCATGCAGGTATTTTAAGACTCTGTTTTGGTTGCGTTATATCCAGCAGTGAAGTTTGGTTCCTTTGATCCCCTCTATCTAATGGCTCTCTTTCTGTCTCTCACTCACTTCCCTTTTGGTTTTCCTAGCTGGGACGTTCATGGCTTTTCTCTTATTGTTTTCTTTGATTCAAATCATAGGCATTCAAGGGTACACAACATGGTATGAAAGCTCCTGGAGTTCTGAATACTCTACTTGAAGCCCTTACTCATGTGCAAGGCACGGATAACCCTCAAACTAATTGTGAGTAGGATTTTGTTGAATTTTTAAGCTTCTATTGATTTGAAAGTTATATGGTTTTAATTCACTGTAAAAGAATAGTGTCTGGTGGATGGGAAGTTATATGATTTTAATTGACATGCTCTCTTGCAATAGGGAGAGGTTACCGGCTACTGTGGACAGGCATGGGAGCACAGCTTGCCCTTGACGTTCCATTTTCTGGAATTTGTTCGGCACTACTTGAGCCTGTGAGCACATCTCCTTTTCCTTTTCGTATAAAGAACGTGTTAGTAGTAGTTTTTCGCTAATTGATTGTGATTAACCTTTATGTATGTTTGGCTGGGAAATCTTTTTTGACTTCCCTTCCGTTCGTTTGGCCTCACAGATGAGGATAAATCTTCTGAGTGTGGTTGGAGATGACGCGAATGTGGCCAGTGTACATGGAGCCAACTTCTCCGCTGGTTTCATCGAAGGAAGTGTTGGTGCAGCTGCAACGTGTCCCCTGGATGTTGCTAAAACTCGAAGGCAGATAGAGGTTAGTGTGCTATCTTCCAAGGTTTTCATGATTCAACAGAGTAGAGGCTTACATTGTGTAGTTTCTCAGATTTGACAGTAAAATAAGTTATCTTTTTCTTGTTGTCTCGACTTCCAGATGGATCCTGTAAGGGCACTAAGTATGACAACTCGGCGAACGCTAATGGAGATTTGGAGGTAACTTCCCATTCTAAATTCATGGAGCCTTTATCTTGGCCTTGGTAGCAGTAACTTGTTACTAATCATGCTTCATATGGATGAACAAGGATGGAGGAATGAGAACGTTGGCATTGTGGTCGCGTTCTACGAGGTGGTGAAGTGCGCTCTGCATTCTCGATATGAATCCGCTTAGGAGGAAAGCATCAGATGGCGTTTTGCTGATTGACCATTTTGTTTCTAGTGTTCATAGTCATGACAGATGTTCCTTGGGGAGTATAGGGAATGAGAAAGTAAAGGTTGGGTAAAAAGTAGGGTAGCAGCAAAGTAACAGTTGATAACAGAAGAGAGGCAGTTGGGTTTACTGGTGAAGCTTCCTCATTTCTTTTTCTGGTTCACTGATAGGTAGAGCCTGCCATGGAGAATGGTTGCGGCCTTGAGTTGATACGAAACAGAGACCACCCATACCTTGAATTTCGACCCAAACTGGGGTTGGATTCGGTGGCGGAACTTGTACAGTTTTATTACATGCTTGATCTTGTATAAATTTGCACCTAGACATTGGTTTTAATCATTCGAATTGATAAAAAAAATATAGACAAGCAAAACTGATCTTATGAAACTGCTTGCAAAACCAGAAGCATACTCGATTTAGAAGTCCTTGGAGCATCGATGAGTTGTGGAGAGCTCTTAACTAATTTTTAGTTTGCGTCGAAAATGTAGTTACATGATCAATATGTTCAAATCTTATTGTCGTTAGAGTTTTCGACTACCCAAACCTTGATTAAATCGATAATTGGAGAATAAGAAATGTGATATGAAATGGAAAGCTCATTCATATGCAAGGTTTTGATATTCGCAGGAGGTGCAAGTTGGGTGCATTTGCTGCAACTCATTTTGTTGCACTAATCAATTTCACATGTTTTATTGTTGAAAAAGTTTCTCGTAGTAGTTATTGTAAAAGGCAATGTCAACATAGACGAATCAATTTGTAGTGTACGTCCATCCCTATTTCCACCAGATTCTCTAATAATTTGCAACGAAACAAACCTCATATTTTTTTGTAGTCTTTTACGTTTTAAACTTTTAGGTTTATTGTTTATTTTGCTCATAGGAAAATCATTAGGGCTAGAATTTCTCTCAATTTATTTCTCTAAATTCACAAGTAAAATTATTATATTAGTAAGCAAGTCGAGCGAGCGTTCACTAATACTAATCGAAGACTTTAAGGTCAGAATTCCTCTTTTCTTATTTTGAGTGTGAGAGCTGGATAGGATCGTTGAGGTTGGGGAACCAAGTTCTAGTGCCCCACTCTCGCTTTCGTATGTATGATATAGGTGGTGATTGACTTCAATGCTAATGGTTATCTTTTTCCTGCGTGCTTGTTCTCTTGATACTATTTATACAACTATAGGTTTTGAGTAGTGATTTGAATATGTTGATATGAACCGAATGACTAAAATCAAATTTTTTAAGTGTTATACTAGACCACATTCTGTGGCTCGAGATCAGATAGCCATCCACTGGATCCACCATTGCGCATGGGTATAAGGCGAATATGAGACAGATTTTAAAAGAGCGGATGAGAATGGTATAGGCAAACCCATCCCCTAATCCGCCTCATTGCTATCGCTATTGACGGGGAGACGGGGACAAATGATTTAGCCAAAAAAACAAACGACTGCGGAATACGGATGCCAGATTCAATACCGTTATTATTTGGGTAAATGACACATTTGGTCACCGAGATTACTAAATCGTGTCATATTTAGTCACTAGAAAAATTTAATATCAATTTTGGTCACTCGAATTACTGACACAGGTCACATTTGGTCACTCTTCTGTAGCCTCTGTCCAACTCCGGTCACTCGAATTATTGAAAAATGTCACATTTAGTCACTCGTATTACTGAAACATGTCACATTTAGTCACTCTCCCAAAAGTTTCCGTTCAACTACATTAATGGAGTTGGACGGAAACTGACGGGAGAGTGACTAAATTTGACCAGTTTCGGTAATTCGAGTGACCAAAATTGATATTAATTTTTTCTAGTGACTAAACATGACACAATTTAATAATCTCAGTGACCAAATGTGTCATTTACCCGTTATTATTTATATGATTTATCTATTTTGTCTTCTTTTTGTAAACCTTTCCAAAGCATAAATATAAGAAAGGAATTTAAGAAAATTAGAAATAGGAGTAAAAGAAAATAGAAAACCTAGTTCGTTTCTCAAATTGCGGCAGCTTCTCCATTTATTACTCAGCCACTCTTTCGCCACGAACACTTCCCCATCCTCCCTGGCCCCGCCTTCCCTCGCCGTCGCCATCCTCCACTCGCCGGCGGTGACGTCGCCATCACAGCGCCGCCGCCGCCTTCCCAAAACCAAGCCATCAGCCGGCATCTTTCATCCTTTTCGTCAATTCGTCGTAGTCTCGCTGGAATTTCGCTCTGCCAGGCTGCCATCGCTCTCTCTCCGTCGCCCTGGAAAGTCGTCTCACTCACGCTTCAGACTCATTCCATCCCATTCCATTTCCTTGTTCTCGCCCGATCTTCAACTGCCTTCACTGCCGCAGAAGTAGTCAAAGCCTAGTCCGCCGTCACTGCCGTGTTTCAATGTCGGAGGTGTAAGGTACCGAAACTCATTTCACTCCTTGCCGTAATCCTATGTGTTTCCGCTGTCAGTAGAAATCAGTCGCCGGGGAACCTGCCCCATTTGTATTAGGCAGAACCTGGGTTGTTTGTTTGATTAATCGCCTAATGGGGTAAAAAATTAAGCAGCTCTTGGTTCGTTTCTTTAGGAGTTCGCACTCGTTGAAAATGATTATTGCGATTCAGATGTTTCAGTAAGGTCTAATGTCACCGATTCAGCTGATATCGTCCATATTTTTTTTCTGGGCGAGTGTCCATTTTCGGTTTTCATGTTTGGGGAAGCTGTTGGAAAGGTCGGCCCTGGAAAGGCTTTTGGCAGTGTTCTTCATTTACTGATGGCCACAATGCTCGATACTAAGTTTACTGGTTCAGCCTGTTGTAATAAAAGTTCTATATGCACGGAACAAATCAACAATCATATCTTGCTTGGGGTTTTTGTTTTTTGGAAAGTATCCTGCTTGGGTAATGAAGTCTGAAAGCTCCATTTTTTTTTATGTAGGTCTTATTTGGATGATTGGAAAAGTTACCTTGCAGCTTAACTTATTATTAAAATGAGACCAAGATCAAATGGGGTTTCTAGGAGTCAGAGGGAGCAAAGGTTTGAAGGTGGAGGACCAAATTGGATTCTCATTGCAGGTGGTGCCTTGTTGAGTACTTTGACAATCCGCCTTGGCTCTAAGCTGAAGCAGACTCTTGATTCTAGGAGAGAAACAAATGCTAGTAATGGTCTACCGTGCTCTTGTTAATGCATGTTATAAATTTGTTCCCTCTGTTGTGACCGCTTAACCTTGAATTTCTGCAATTCAGGAAATGAGAAATTGTCTGACAGAAGGAGATCATCAGCTTGCCATATGCATCCGAATGTCTACTCCTTTACACATGATGATGATAGTTATTTCAATTCTGCTTCCGGTATGGATAACTTTTTTTTCATTTTTCAATTTATGGTTCTGGTCTTGTATTGAGGAAGTAACCCAAAATATTCCATGCTGCGTCGCATCAAAATATTTGCTACTGCTTCTCATGATATATATCTTTTGAGGAATATTCAGAAACGTCTTCCTATTTCGTCTATGTGGATCACTGATATGCTTTGACACCTGTGCGTTTATTTGAAATATTTTCATTCAGCCTTTGTCTCGTGGTTTGTGTTCGAGACAGGGAATGAAGGTACCACAGATGTAAAATACCCTCCCAATGATCACACGCTGTCTGAAACTGATGGTGCACTCCCTTTGGTCACAGTCAATGCCCCAGAATACTCAAGAGAGAATGGGATTATGTGGGTTTCATCTCTTGAACGTCTCGAGTTACCGCCAAAGCCATTTCACCATTCAAACTGCTCTGACTCACCATGTGTGTCTGAGTCTGGTTCGGACATATTTAGCAAGCGCGAAGTGATACAAAAGCTGAGACAGCAACTAAAAAGAAGGGATGACATGATAATTGAGATGCAGGATCAGATTGTGGAGTTGCAGAATTCAGTCAATGCTCAATTGGGAATTTCTAATAATTTGCAGTCTCAACTTGATGTTGCTAACAAGGATTTGTTAGATTCGGAGAGAGAAATCCAGAGGCTGAGAAAAGCCATTGCCGATCATTGTTTGAAACATGCAAACGGTGATGGAAAACCGTCAGTTGTCACTGTATGGCCACCTGAGGTAAGAAATGGGCATGCTAATGGGTATTCAGATGGTGAAAGTACCTTTGAGTTTCCAGAGAAAGGGAGGATGGATGTGGAGAAGGTCGAGATGCTTAGGAGGGAAGTAGGGGAATTGAAGGAAGTGTTAGAAGGGAAGGAATACTTGTTGCAGAATTACAAAGAGCAGAAGTCAGAGCTTTCGATGAAGATCAAGGAGTTGCAGCAAAGATTGGATTCTCAGCTCCCAAATATTTTATAGGCGTTGTTAGGTCATGCGCATTCTTGTTTTTTCCTGACTCTGTTTGTTTTGAGCTTCCGGTTTTGGGAGATTGTTCTTTATCCAAGCTTCTAGGTTAGAAAATCTGGTGTTTCCTGTGCTCGCATAAGGGTGCCAGTTGCGACTGATCAGAGAGAGAGATATAGAGAGAGGCAGACCAAGGGTTTGTAATTGTCCGTGTTGCTTGTCAATGTCTCTGCTCAGTTCTGTAGAAATATGAATGCAAGTTTCCACAAAGCGTGAACCCTGTTGCACTTTTGGCCTCTCTGTTTACCTGCAGAACCACTGGTTTCTGCTCTTCTTCAGTTACTAATTTTAATCACAACGGATTTCACTAATCAACAGATGTGCTTCTTTATCATCGACATGTTTATCCGACTTCGAGTTTCCATTATTTTTTGTCATCGTCACAGCAGCAGTAGCAACAATTGAGCAAACCATCTGTACAAGTAGGACGCTATTCAGCCAATCTAGCACAGAGGTTTCCAGCATCCAGGTCTGTTTGGCTATCTTGTCTTCAACCCTGCATGACGTATGATTTATTCCTCCAGTTTTCTTCCGTTGTCATTTCATCGGTGAAAATCTTCACTTTCGTTGCAGTGGTTTTATCTATGTATATGGTTTAGTTTGTACGCAGTGCAGTAAAATTCTGGTATGCAAGATTAGTTTTGAGAGGATAACTGTTAATAGGGATTAGGAATTGCTGAGATTTTGAACTAGAATTGGAAGTCGGATAATCTTTGTTCATAAGAGGGGTTGGTGAATTAGCTTCACTTGGATGAGCCATGTCACAAGGGTGAATTACACTAGTTATGCTTGATGCAACACTTAAGAACAGTGGCTACTATAGCATTATAGGGCACATTTGCACACTACTCGTTTTTTAGTTAAGTTTCCTCTGGTATTTTTTTTTTGATGAATTGATGCTGAAATTTTATTCATCTTAGAGGTGGAGGGTCCATAAGTTTCCTATGGTATTATCCACTGATGAGATGTTTAGGGAAGTCATTAGATAGATAGAACTGTTTTCTTTTCCTGGTACAACTTTCTGGAGAAGATTTGTTGGGATTGGTTATTCTTTGCGTAATGGGTTCTATAAATAGTAAAGGGATGCTGTAGTTTTCCCCAACATGCGGGGGAAAGAAGGTAACATCCCAGAGTTAGTTTCTTTCCTTTTTTCTCTTTTGGAAAAAGAACCCATTTGGTTCGGACCCTTTGGGTAAGGTGATGCAAAGTTAAAGGATTGGTTAATAGTAGACACTGGCCGTTTCATCAGTTTGTTTGTTTTCTTTTTTCGGGAAGTCTATTATCAGTTAGTTCCTTCTGTTGCTTTTACTTTATCCTGAATGTTTTTTTTTTTTACTTTCTCGTTTTTTCATTTCATCATTTCGTTCAAGCATGGAGTGTTATGGTTGCAGCCTGCATATGCTGCGAGACTAAGTGTAGCACTCCTATAAATATTAAAGTTTGCAGAGATGTAAGTTCGATTAAAGATACAGCTGGCATACAACATTGTATATCGAAGATTTATGGAAATGAAATATGCCATTTGATGGGCTTAGTGGGTCCTTAAGTAATATGATATATGTATGTAACTGGAATGTTCTACTATAGATCAATATATTGATTCTGATTTGTAAGTTCAGCTTAGTCCAATGTTTGAGGATTCACTCCTTCAGTTCGACCACAATTCATTTTCTACGCAGGAAAGATTCATATTTGATTTCTGTACTTGATCTCTCCATGTGAATATGCATAAATGTTGCCCGTTTAGGTTGTTTACATTTGCTATCTCTTACCATTCTCTTCCAGTCAGTTATTATATCAGTCAAAATAGGTTTTATTCAGTTGCATGTCTAGATCTCTTGTCGTGCAAATGGAACTCTGCTAAAAATAGCACTGGAGATGGTGAACACTATGAGAATGTGCACCTTGAGTCTTTTCCTTTTGTTCTGCTGAACATAAGAGGCAGGCAGCAAGGTTACTAGGGCAGTGGATGTTAATGTGAAATACAAAGATCCTAAGGTGCCTGTTGAAGATAGAATTACTGATCTTGGGCGAATGACTCTTGAAGAAAAGATTGGTCAGATGAGTCAGATTGAGGTACCAGTTGTCACTGCTGAGATCATGGAGAAGTACTACATTGGTATGTCTCTATGTATATGCATGTGCCACCGCCCTGAAATTTTCATATTGTAAGTTACTCTTATATGGCAAATTATACAATAATGATAATTCAGGGAGCTTGTTGACTGGTGGAAGTACTCTTGCCTGTTAAAGATGCATCTGCAGAGCACTGGGTGGACATGATCAATAAGTTTCAGAAAGGATCTCTGTAAACTCGACTGGGGATACCTATGATTTATGGGATCGATGCTGTTCATGGAGACAACAATGATTTTAATGCCACCATTTTCCCTCATAATGTCAATCTTGGGGTTATCAGGCAAGTTTCTCCTAACTACGCAAACGTCGTTTCAGTGGTTCGTAATCATCAGTATTATTTTCACAGTATCTGCATTTGTTGAGCCAGGGATACTGCTCTTGTCAAGAAGATTGGTGACAGGTTGTGCCAAACATTATATTGGTGATGGAAGCACGGTGAAGGACATCAATGAAAACAACGCCATCATCCACATGAAAGATTTGATGGCTATCCTCATGCCCTCTTACGATCTGGCGATCCAGAAAGGTGTTGCCACAGTTATGATATCTTATTCAGGCATCAATGGGGTAAAGATGCATGCCAATCAAAAACCAATCGTCCTTCTCATGGAGAAGTTCTAGGTACAGAATACAACAGCAACTACTATGACAGTTTTATGCGGCTTTTCGTTATCAATTAATGGGTGCAGCAACCAATGGGTTGCAGGGTTTCGTAATTCGGATTGACAAGATCACTAATCCACATTGTGCCAATTACACTTACTCCGTCCAGGCATTCATTTCAGCTGGCCCTGACATGGTAATCAGTTACTATGCTAATTGCCCAAATTGTACCTGCGGAAGAGTAAGCATATCCAACAGTTAAATGTTTGTTTTTTCTTTTTCTCCAGATCATATTCCTGACATTTTTGCAGCATCCATTTGGAACCTGACACAATGAGTTAATGATAAAGTCATTCCAATGAGTCGCATTGAAGATGCTGTGATCAGAATCCTGAGTATCAAATTCTTGTTATGCCTCTTTGATAACCCAAATCCAGACGACAGTGTGGTGGATATGATTGGGAAACAGATGAGTAGCGCTTTTGATTCTTGTCCCCCTTACATTTCTCGTAATTGAGTTCTGCCAGAACCATTATTCTAACAGGTTTCCTGAACTGAAACGTCCTAATTTAGGAGCACTGAGAATTGACCAGAGAAGCTGTGAGGAAATCTCTTGTGGTCTTGAAAATGGGATAGGCGGAGAATCAACCCATCTTGCCCCTACCTAAGAAGGCCATTCAGATTATTGTTGTGAGATCCCATGCTAACAATTTGGGATATCAATGGTGCGGCTGGACCGTTGAATGGCAGGGATACTCTGGCAATGGCAGGACTTCAGGCGATGCATTCACCATTCATCACTCTCTGCTCTATTGATTTGCAACCCAACATCCAACCATTTAGTGCAGACGAAGACGATGAGAATGGAAACTGAAGCTGTAATACATGCTGATTGTCTGCTGGAACTACCATTCTTGCAGCGATTAACAAGACGGTGGATCCAAGCACACAATTTGCGTTCCAATGAGAAAGCCAACCCCGAGTTCCTCAAGGCCAACAAAGATGCAGACTTTGCAATTGCAGTGGTGGGGAAGAGGCCATACGCAGAAACCAAAGGTGACAATCTGAACCTGACCATTTCTCATCCGAGCCAGGATATCATCACGAAACAGTGTGCCAGTGGGATCAATTGTATCGTGATTCTTATCTCAGGACAGCACCTGGTGCTAGGGCCATTCCTGCCAGTAATGGATGCTCTGGCGATAGCATTTCTTCCTGGCTCTGAAGGTCAAGGAGTTGCTGATGTGTTGTTTGGGGATTATGGCTTCACTGGGAAGTTGGCGAGGACTTGGTTCAAGAGGGTTGATCAGCTTCTAATGAACTAAGGGGACAAGAACTACGACCCTTTATTTCTCTTCGGGTTTGGCCTTGAGACCAAGCAGGCTGGCGGAAAGATCGAGTTACGATAACTGTCTGTACTGATAGGATAGATGGATTCCAATTGCAATGTCTTTTTTCCTAGTGGGACTTAATTTTAAAATGGCCATTAGGTTCAATTGTTCATGGGGGCAACCTGTTGTTGATATTGACTGGTTAGAGGTAAGAATTCAATTGCCTATGTTGTTAAGTATTAACCCTTCTTAGGCGAAGGAGAGTGGTCATGCAAATTTACCAGGGAACTAAAAAAAAGGCAAAATACAGCTGTATATCCATAACTATCACGTTTGTGACAAATATATCCACAACTATCGAAATACACGAAATATCCAAAAATTAGAAGGTTGTGTGACAAATCTATCCACTTCCGTCTGAAACTATAACGGTGTTAGTGACGCCGTTAATTATTGCGACGGAATGCTGACTAGGATCCAAATCACCGTCCACGTCATCAACAAATCAGCATAATATTAGAGTTAAATGACACGTTAGAAATTAATTAATAAAAAATTTAAAATTAAATTTTTTTCTGCCATATTTCCGGCCACACTATCCCGACGCCGAGCTTCGTTACCAAGCGGCCAAATCCCCAAGACGAGCTTTGTTTCCTCCTCTAACTTCCTCTCACGCTCCCATCGCCCACATCGATCTTGGTCTTTTGCTTTCTCAATCGACGATCTGGGCTTGCCCACTTGCTCAATCGACTTTCTGTTTCTTTCTCAGACGGAAACCAATCCCACCGCCGATGTGAAAACCCCCAAATCAAAGCAAGCAGAGGATTGGAAAACCCCCAAATCGCATCAAGCAAAGGATGAGAAAACCCCCCCACATCGACCACGGATGGAAGAAGACTTGGCGGCGTCCTCACTCAGCCGGCTTGATTCCCAGTGAACTCGCCGAGATGCCCAACCTCGACGCCCTCCCAGAGTCCTTCGGCGGCTGCTTGAAAGGAAAATTCCTGTCTCAATATCTCTCCTAGCGACGTCAAGCTCCTCAACGACCGGTTCACCACTAAATATGGGGATAGTGAAGATCGAATGAGGGCAAGGACAGTCGTTGCGGCGGATTCAACTTCACCACAGAAACCCAAATTCGACCTCTGAGCCTAAGAGTTTGATTTGAACGAATCAGCATTGAGCTTCAGCCTCCAACTACGATTCAACCTCCGAGCTTCAGTCAGAAACCCAGATTCGAGCTCCAAGTCTCCAAGTTTGATTCGAATGGAATTGTTTCCAACTTCGATTGACCTCTGAGCTTCAACCAAAAAACCCAGATTCAATAGAGGCGTTTGTGTTGATACTTGGAGGCGAATGCGTACGTGAACGTCATGGCGAAAGGGGTGGGATAAGTGAGATGCGCCACCGAAAATCCAACTTCTTCTGCATCATCGGACACAGCGAGGGCAATAGAGAGAGATCGAAGATGGGGTTTTGAGGAAGAAAAGGAAAGAGGTGGGAAGACGATGGGAAGAGGAAAAGAAGGATTTTATCCTTTTTTTTAATTTTTTTTCATTATCCACGTGCAATGGTGGGACCAAATATCGCCAACTCAGCCCATTCCGTCAATCCAGTCAGACTGTTAATTAACGTCGTTAGAGCATTAGACGAAATTGGATATTTCGTGTATTTCGATAGTTGTGGATATATTTGTCACAAACGTGATAGTTGTGGATATACAGCTGTATTTTGCCTAAAAAAAATTATGAGCTAAGAAATGCGTTGAAGGATTCACCAGGGGATCCTCTTTCTCCCGTTCGATTTGCCATCTGCAATGAAGGATTTTTTAGGATGATATCGCAGTCTCTATTATGGCCTTTTTGAAATGCGTCTATATTTAGATCACTTGTGTCTTAGCTGGTTTTTTTTTTAATATATGATTCCTACTTGTTTCTATGAGGTTCTCGGCAATTATGTACGACATTTATGTGTCTCATGCGTGTATATGAAGAATTGAGTGAGCAACAGGTGAATTTAGCGAAATCTACAATTTTGTTTACCTGCATTTGGGGGTTTGGGCTATTAGGAACATGAATCCTTCTTGGGTCTACCCTCTATTACCTCTAATCCTTGTGCCACAAGGATTAGAAGCTCGACAAAGAAAAGGACGCATCATTTTTGTGATTATTCGTGTGACTCCTATATCTTCTTCTCTTGACAATATAAAAAAGGCTCTTGTTAACTTGACAATGGCCTTAGTGCCCTTGACAATAAGAGACCAAAATGAGAATCCCATGGAGATAGGTTGTTTAGGCCATCTCAACTCAAATTGAGCACCGTTACATAAATCATAATGTCATTAAACAAATGCATTAAAGAAAGAGTAGGATTTTAATGAGGAATATCACATTTGTCAAAATTCTAAATACGTTTAGACGTTTTATGCACTTTTTAAAAGTATTTGCTATTACGGCAGTCAAAGATTTGACTACACCAACCTATTTTCCTTTCCACTACACTCAATTATACTCTCCATGCAATGCTTCTCAAAGATCTTCATTTTGAACAAGAGTGACGTTTCTTGACACATCGTTTGACATAAAGAAAACCCACGCTCACACCATTCACGCACTAACACATTTTTTCCTCGCAACCCACCAATCATATTAGCAAGCTAATCAACTTTTTTCCCAAAAAATCTTTTGCTTAACTAGGAGTACATTGAACCAACTGCATTCAATGATACCACAACAAAAAATCACAATTGTGAGAAGTAATAAACATGCATACATACCATGTAAATGAGAATCCAGGCCAGTTACTAGAACTCTATAAAAAGGAGTGCTATTCTCCCGTTCCTTCTCATCCAACCCCCAGTCCCTCATCGTTCTTCACTGGTTTGTATTTCATCCATGGTGGTAGCAGTGTCACTCTTTCTGGTCAGCTTGGTAGTGTCCTTAATGGAAGACTTCACCATAGATTCGAAGGAAGCAGAGTGTATGATTCCTTCTGATGTCATGGTCGAAATTTCACCATCCTCAAATCACCCCAAGCCACTGCCAAAATCCACCACTTTCAAGAATCCCTTGATTCCCTCTAAGGTCTGGAAAACTCCGGTGATTGGGAGACTTCATGGTCGGAATACTCCACCAAAAGACCAGGTTTCATCGCCCATCATTTTGTCAATGTTTACCCTTCTCTTCTTTTGATGGAATACCAATTCTTCTTGGTATTAGATGTTGAAACGACTTTTAATCCTTTGCCTTTTATGTGTTTTCATCGTATGTGACGGTCAAATATGTTTTCGTAACGGAAAAGTGGAGCGGAAAGAAATACTAAGTAGGGAGTTAAATATTTTATTAGGAAAAACAAGCCTTTCATCCGCGCGCCTCTAATTTTGTTGATGTACGAGGGGCCTTATATTTTAGAGTGCGTCAATATGTCAAGTTTTTCAAGATTGATTTCAAGAGTTGAATTAGGGATGATAAATTTGGTTTTGATATGCTTCACCCTTGCTCTAGTTTCACATGTGCTGGTTTAAGTGTTTATCGAGTCGCATGTAGGACAAGACATGAATCTTCATTTTGGCGACGAAACCCTACGTACAGACCCCCTAAATAAATTATATGTCCATTCATAGATTTGCCAACACTGTCTTGCTCGCGGCCTGCCTGTTGTCGTTCCCATGTCCCAGATACACATAATTGTTGAAATGCATGCTAGCGCTCTTCTACCATAATAAATCTTGCTATTCCTTTTCAAGCGTTTTGTTTGTATGCATCACGCGCTTGTCATTCGACCCTGATATGTTTTTCCACGTGACGCTCTTTTACTCCTTTGAGTTGTTCTCTTTTCACCTACCCCAATTCAAAATAAAACACACATAATTGAATTAGAAAATAAATAAATATCTACGATATGGGTCGTCCACCTTACCCAGGAAAAAAACATTAACATTGTCACATACTCCCCCCTTCATCATTCTTTGTGACTTCCCTTAATTAGCCATGTGTTTTACACATTGTGACTCTTGTACTAACCTTTGTATAGGTCTTGTGTGGAAAAATAGTACCAATGCTCGATTACACATGTCGTCCACCTCGCCCTACCGGTAGCTTTGTCTTCTCCGGCGGCATTCACCATCGGTCTGGTCCCTTTTTACCGATCCAACATTGGGTAAATTTCCCTCATCATATCACCATTTACCACCATTTACGCGAAAATCATTTACAATTCTACGCAGACACGAAAACTCATCGTGAAACCGATGTTGTTCTTCTTTGACAGCGCTTCCGGTACGCCGAGAATCTGACTCCGGAGAGGATACAGGCAGGGACTGGAGTCTTCATTCCTCGCATTCCCATACCACCACCGTCACCAACATCAACCATTTGTCGGGCTATTGTCGATGGTGCCAGAGTGGGTAAGAAGCATTTGATTATGAATGGAGGCGAGACGTCTAATACGAGGGAGAAGAAAGACGACTACTTCCCTGATGAGCTGCTTCCCCTGGGGTTGTGCTTGCCTGAGGACTGGACTTATTGAGCCGTTTAATGAAATGGAGAAGAAATGATGATGTAATAATTCCTCCGGTAGGAGAGAAATTGGCGATGAGAACAAATAAATTTAATAAATTTCGAAGACAATCTTTCGAGGAGTTTATTCAATATTTGTTCAGGTCATTCGTTCAAAGACAATATTTGGAAGGAGTCGAAGTTTGCACATGCATTAAAAGACCGTGTGGTAAACAAGTGGGGGTCATCGAAATTCAAAGAGAACCTCTGAGATATATAAGGTTCCGATCACATGTTAAGAACTAGTTAATCTCAATAACTCGAATGCTTGAGATATGTTTGATTAATGGATCTTATTATGCTATTACTAACATGATCCCCTCGAACAAAAGCATACTTATATGTTTGAGTTTGAAATTTGCACATGTTGGAATACCATTTGCTCAACAAATGAGTGTTGTCAGGATTCGGAAAAAAAAAACATTTATATCACAAAAGACTCTGTTACCAATATTAAAAACTTGTTTATGCCTAAACTCGAGTGTTTTCTATCATTTATTCCGACTTTTGTTCTCATACTTTTTATTTTCCTTCAACCATGTATCCTATCGTTAATTTAATCTACGAACTAGTCTGCACCTTCAATTTTCATGGACTCCACGAATTTTACCCTCAACAAATTTCTAGCAAACTATGGTTTTTTGCAAAGTCCACGTTAAATTGAATGAGACCCAAATCCATCATCTAAATCCATGAAGTAAACGAATTAGATGTGTAAATATATGCAATACACAGATAAATCTAAATTCCTCCATACTTGTGATTTTAAATTATAATAATTTATGATTCACATTTTGGAAATTGTACGGAAGTCAAGATGGTGTTTATTTCACTATGGCAAAAAAAATGGTGTTTATTTCAACTTTCATTCTAAACTTACTTTGTTTTTTAAATGGAATCCAAATTAGACTATTTGTATAAAATCTAGAAACTTGCGACTTTTCTTCCAGTTCTTGCTTGTTGCTCGACGAATGGCATGTTCCGTAAATACGAGCAAATCTTCAGTTAATTACAAGCCTGCGGTATTTCGTGTCTCGCCCATTTCTCCCGGCCAGGTGAGCCCTCCCCAGCTTACCCTAACGAAATCCCCAAACTGTCCCTCCTCGAACAAAGCCCCTGTCTCCGCTTCGTTTTCGACTTTCGGTTCTTGGCTCGCTTCACATCCATCGTCTTCGCTTCAGAGCTCTCTTCTCTCTCTCTCTCTCTTTCTGGTTCTGTCTCCCGCGCTCGGTGGCGTCCACGTCTTCTACTTACGTCGATCGGCGGCCGCCTTTCCCTCGCCAGCTATGACTCTGATGACTCCTCCGCCGTTGGATGTAATTCCTACCTCTGAAACTCCTCCCTTCTACTGTCGCCTCTCTCAATATGCTTTACTGCCGGTGTCTTCTCTTCCAACTTTCCCTACCCTGTCTCTCTCTCTCTCTGGCATTAGCTTTGGTTTAGTTCCAATTCAATCCAATTTAGATTTCGGAATGGTTAGCCTTTCATTCGACGATTTTCGTTACTTCAATCACCAGAATTCGCTCACTTTCGCTGTCGCACCGAATGGCTTCGCTGCTAGGGTTTTCTCCCATCGGCAGATCCGTGTTCTTGTATTAACTCTGCTCTTCAATGTCAAAATTTTTGTAGCAGCAAGAGGACGACGAGATGCTGGTCCCCCACACCGACGTCACGGAAGGTCCTCAACCCATGGAAGGTGCGTCCCGGGATTGTTACGTACCTCTTTTCTGTATAGAGTCAGTTGAGCTGCGACTGTTGTGTTTGATTGCTGTGATTTCCGTGTTCTGCCATCCTTTACTTATTCCTTACTAACTTTGCTATTGGATTCAGAGTTTGAGATCTCAGGTGGTCAAACTGGTTCGGATACGGGGTTTATGGGGATAATGTTGGGTAGTGCCGTTTTATTTTCTGATGGCTTTGTGGAGAGCTTGTGTTGGAGGAATGATTTTGTTTTCTGCTGCCTCTTTATTAAGGAAGATCCTAATTTTTAATGTTTATTATTAGTTTGGGACAGTCTAGCTTTGCTACGAAATAACTGATGTAACGGGTAGTGATTTTAGTGAGTGTTTCAGCCATTATTTGCTTGGGGAGAGTATGCACATTTGCATTGCACCTAACTGGTTGAACGAAATTAGAATTTCATCAGTTAAGTTAGCTTGTACAAAGCATGCAAGAGCATTTACTTCCTCGGTGCTTTTGTCTCCCTGCTCCAAAAAATCAATGCCATATCTCATTCATTTTTTTTTTTAAATTTCTCTTCACCATCCTCAGTAGCGCCAGCTGAACCAGCAACTACAGCTGATGCTCAGTCAGTTGATGATCCACCATCAGCAAGGTTTACCTGGACAATTGACAACTTTTCGAGGCTCAACACCAAGAAGTTCTATTCCGATGTTTTTGTTGTTGGAGGTTATAAATGGTACGCCAAACCCTCTTTTTATTTGTTGGCTTTACATAATCTTTCCGCTTGTTGTTTATATGTTTTTTGCTCTCTAGCCTTATGAACTAAATTGCTTATGTAGGAGAATACTGATTTTTCCCAAGGGTAACAATGTGGATCATCTGTCCATGTACCTAGATGTTGCAGACTCCGGAACTCTGCCATATGGCTGGAGTCGTTATGCCCAGTTCAGCCTGACTGTTGTAAATCAAATTCACCAAAAGGGCTCCGTTCGGAAAGGTAGCTGTCCATCCATTCATTTTGGCGGTGACCATGTATTGTCTTGAATACTTTTAATTTTTGTCTTGAGCTTTAGTTCTTGTCTCATTCGATGATATTAGTGCGCCTGGTTCCTTCCTAATACGCATGTCTGGAATCTGTCTCATTGTTGAACTACCTTAAAATAGAGTGTATGGTTTAGGAAAGTAGATGCTGTGTGACTTAGAGCTAGTGCAACATAAAGTTATACTTGAAAGACAGCAGCTTCTGATGTCTCTAGTCTTTGTTGCATACAAACCAGATGGAAGCCATGGATACTTTCAAGGTGGATTGCTTTTGCGGGATGGTAGAGAGAAGTAATGTGGGATTAGTCTCTGTTTTGACTTCCTTTTTTCTCCCGTTGCAATATATGTGGAGCGTTTCTGAGGTTTGCAGATGAGTGTTAAATGGTCTATCCTTCTAGCTGGTGGATGTTGATGCAAAGGTTTATATTTCTTGAATTAGATTAGATTGCTTGAGGGCCTTGAGTTTTCGGTGATGGAGCTTTGTCCTAGACATAAAGTTCTCTTGGTGATAGCATATGCTTGGTTATGTGGCAATGCAGAGTTATTTTCTGAAATTAACTTGGTGGATGAAGTCGTCTATTGGTTTTTAGTGGGGGATACTGAAAGAGTGGAGGTATTCTTACAAGCACTAGAGCCTCTCAAGCTGTCGACAGTTACGTGTGTTGAAGTTAACTTCAGTTTCAAGGAATGTTGATGTGGGAAAGACCGTGAACTTATACGAGAGCAGCTCATTGATGTAAACCATTTTCTATCCATTTTAGGGCTGTTCTTAAATATTGTGATTATGACACTTGTTGACAAGTCTTGGTCAAACAAGTTTGAACGAGATAGAAGTAAAAATTTATAATAGATATTTGGCTCAGTATCAAGGCACACAGGCATGTGGAAAATCATTAATAGGGTTCTTGGATGATTGAGATGCACATATTTTCATTTCTGATGAGAAGGGCAACAGTATTTGATGTCAGCAATCCGTCTGATTGTTCTTCAGAGGATGTTTTCAGAAAACCAGCTATTGGTTCTTTCTAATGCTAAAGTGGTTTGTTATAACAGAAACATTATTTTATTAGAGATTTGTTATGTAGAGTGTGTTTGTGTCTTTTTCTTATGGCAAAGACATATTTGCATATGTATATATACATATGTATGGTAAGTGTCTACCTTCTCCAACATGAACCCATTCCTTCATCTACCCTATCGCCTGCTCATTTCTCATATATTAAATTTTGAGTCAGGAAAAAGTAGTTTGTAGGTAAGACCATGTCCTATGTCGCATCTGTGATTCTCTGCTTACCCTGCTTCCTTTTCACATAAAGATCTGTTGCCTTACCCTTTCCTCTCCCTATCCAGAGCACTATTCCTCATTGATGGTGTCTTGTATATAGTTACAATACTTCAATGATATGCTGGTCCTTTGGTGTGAGATAAAATGATGGGTGGAAAAATACTTAGTTTGAAAACATGATTTTTGAATATTACCATTGGTTGTTATATAAACTGAAACTTTGGAAACTTTTATTCCTGCAGAGACACAACACCAGTTCAATGCACGTGAGAGTGACTGGGGATTTACTTCATTCATGCCCCTTGGGGATTATATGACCCTGGCAGAGGTTATCTTGTTAATGATACATGCATAGTAGAGGCAGATGTCGCTGTCCGTAAAATTATGGATTATTGGTCCCATGATTCTAAAAGGAGACTGGCTATGTTGGACTTAAGAACCAAGGAGCCACATGCTACATGAATTCTCTTCTTCAGACACTCTACCATATTCCTTACTTCAGAAAGGTTTGTTTATACCTTCAGTTTCTGAACATGTGAAACTTGCTTATTTTCGCTATGAATAAATATGAAATATATCAAAGCCTTATGGCTGGAATGTAATTTCAGGCTGTGTATCACATGCCCACGACTGAGAATGACATGCCATCAGGAAGCATCCCTCTCGCTCTGCAGAGTTTGTTTTATAAACTTCAGTACAGTGACACAAGTGTAGCAACAAAAGAGCTGACGAAATCTTTCGGGTGGGACACTTACGATTCTTTCATGCAGCATGATGTGCAAGAACTTAATAGGGTCCTTAGTGAAAAGCTTGAAGATAAAATGAAGGTATGACGAGGGGAATGAAAAGCTTTTGGCTCGTCATGCTCATTGTTGTCTCACTGGAATGTTAACAGGCATAGTCTTTGTTTTTTTTTTTGTTCAGGGAACTGTTGTAGAGGGAACAATACAACAGTTGTTTGAAGGGCACCATATGAATTATATAGAGTGCATCAATGTGGATTACAAGTCCACTAGGAAGGAATCATTTTATGGTAAAAATCCTGATATTTTGAACTCATTATTAGTAGACTTGTCCCATGCTAAATCATTTTATTACTTCCGTGTAACTTCAGATCTTCAGCTTGATGTCAAAGGTTGTCGAGATGTATATGCATCTTTTGACAAGTACGTTGAAGTGGAGAGTCTTGAAGGTGATAATAAATATCATGCCGAACAACATGGGCTGCAGGTAAGATGCGTATGGGAAACTTCTTCATAAGAGCTTTAGTATGGATTTTGTGAGAAGAGCTTAGTTAAAAGATTTTAACTTTATGTGCGTGCTTTAGTTGTGATTTTCTTAGTTTGTGGGATCCTCTATAGGAATCTAAGATGTCAGACTATCGATTATACAAGAACTGTCTGATCCCCATTCTCCCATGGTGGGTGAGTGTCATCCACTGTTCAGCTGGCTGTTTCCTCGAGATTCTTCGTTCAGCATTCTTGCTGATTAGAAATGACTTTGAAACCAAACCCCTTAGTGATTTGAGAGTGACTGACCTTTAGGAAAGAGAGCATATGGAAATCGAATGTCATTAGATGCGAGTTGGAGAAGAGTCCTTCTATGGCTAATCAAAGAATGGTTCTGCTGGAGGGTTAATTTGAGTTCGTCCGATAATTTTTGGTGTTTCAAAAACTTACATATTGAAATTTTTGACATAAAATTTGATACTCTGAGATGATTATATTACTGCAATGATCATGAGAAAGGTCACGACGCGGCCGCCGCGGCCAAAACGGTCACACCGGAAAAAGAAGTGGGCGAGGAACAAGGAAAAGAAAGAGAAGATAATAGTCCAACCACCAAGGCAGAAGAAGAAGTTGTTGATCTCCCGCCACCAAAAGAAGCTTCTTCTTCTTCTTCTTCTCTGGCCGCCAAGGCAGCAGCGGAGACGGCAAAGTTAAGTGATGTCCGCGACGACGACGATGATCATTTCGATCATCGTCGCCAGGGGGTAGCAGCAGCATTAATAACAAGCCGCGGAAGCAGCAAGAAGAGGAAAGAGTCGCCTGAGGACCACCACGACGGTAATGCGTTGTCGGCTATCAAGGATGACGTGGTGGAAAATAACATTGGGGAGAGAATGAAGAAGGAGGCTATTACGACGTCGTCGTCGGGTAATATTGCTGCGACTGCGAGGAAGAAGGCCAAGGGGTTGGGGATTTTGGAGCGGGTTGACGAGTTGATAAAGGACGAAGATAATAGACAGACGATGGTCAACGTTGGACTGGCGGTTGTGGCGGCTGTGGCGGTTGGGGCCTTCATTGTCTATCGCTACAGATCTTTCAGAGACTCCGCCTAATTAATTAATTAGTTAATCATTCTCTCTTTCATGATCAACGTGACAATTAAATTTCCTCCTCCTGTAAACCAAAACTAAAGATGTATATTGTGTTGCTGCATGTGTGAATAATATTGGAACAAAATGATTTGGATACCTAATGAATAAAAATCAGATACGCTAGTTACGCTTTACGATCAAATGAAAGAACGTAACAGTCATTTATTTGAGGTAATGGTTAAGGCATACCATCGCCAGTAGATTACATAAATCACGACATACCATGGTTTGCCGGTGATACCATATTATTCAAAAGAATGCTTAAATGCTCATAGGGGACAATTATACAAAAAAAAAGGTTCTTATTTTTCCTCTTCCAATCAACAATTCCTCCATAGTCGATTCTCATTCGGTTCACTTTACTAAAATAGGTCTTATCCTTTCTTATAAATAATTAATTCCTTACACAAAAAAAGTGAACTCATCCTTCATAGAAAAAAAAATGTGAACATTCTTTCAAAAACAATAATAATAACAGGAATAATAAATCGAGAGTTATTTCTTTTCACATCATTAGACAAAAAATTTAGTCTCACAATTAAAGTATGATGTGGCATCCTCGTCATCATCTTGTTGATGTAACTAACGAAATCTTAATCATGTTAAATTTTTTAACGAAAATGGCTACATTTGTCAAACATGTTTCTAATATCTGAACATTTTGTGTATTTCTCAAAAAATTGGCTATTATTGTCACAAAATCGATAACTATGGCTACGCAAGTAAATTTTTCCTAATTAAAAAAATAAGTTTGAACTTTGACATTCTAACACTTTTTAGTAGAGCAAAGAGCACTCTGAAAAAAACGAAATGCCAAATTAGCATTCTAGTAGCCTAGCATTTATCATTGTATATTTTTTTATTATGTCATTGGAAATGGGTCTACCCAAGATTACTAAAAAAATTCATATTTGTTCATTAAAAATATTTAATATCATCCGTGGTCACTAGATTTAATAAATCAGTCAAAGTTTGATCACTCTCCGTTAATTTTTGTCGATCTCCGATAATGGAGTCCGTTATGTGCTAATGTGGCAAACAAAATCGCCTAATTAACCAACCCGTCGCGCCAATTCTAACGGTGTTAATGGAGACTGGCGGAAGATAACGTATAGTATAGTGATCAAGTTTGGCCTGTTTTATTAAATTTAAGGGTTAATGCCACATTTGGTCACTGTGATTACTAAATTGTGTCATGTTTAGTCACTAGAAAAAATTAATATCAAATTTAGTCACTATAATTACTGAAACATGTCACATTTAGTCACTCTCAGTTAGTCTCCATCCAACTCCGTTAATGGAGTCCGTTATGTGCTGATGTGGCTAACGGAAACGCCTAGTGAGCAACATTTTGGACTGAAAATGGTCAAACCCGACCGCCACATCACTAAACCAACCATGTAATACACCCAACCCAACTCATTAACCCAACTCGACCCAAAACCAAACCCTAACTCACTTAATAAAATAAATTTTGAAAATCGATCGGTCAGTCGCCATTTCAGACCAAAACCCTTTCTCGAGAAAGTTCCAAAAACCAGTTTTCCGGGAGAACAAACAGATTTCGAATAGCACCAACAGCAATAGAGCTTTTTTCTTCCATTCTTATTTCCGGTAATGCAAACACGCACACAGATACATCTCACGTAACCACCACATCACAATTCCTTCCCCATTACCTTAATATACAATCGCATCATCCGAACACGAAAAGCCGGAGAAATCCAGGGAGATCGATCAAGATTCGAGCATGCTAGCTCACGTCACCTTCTTGAACGACGTGAGCCTCTTCACGGCATCGGGCTGCACCAAGACGATCGCCTCGTACTTGGACAACCCGTTGGCGTCTACAGCGCCGGAGACCGTCAGCTCCAGCTTTTAGTTCTTCCCGCGGACGACCTGGTACGCGCCGGACTCCACCCTCACCAGGTTCAGCTTCTCCCCCTCCTTCTCGTTGTGCTGCTTGACGGCGAACTTCGTGGCATCCTCACTTCCGGATCCTTGAGGCCCTCGATCGGGCGCCACCTACCGAGCGGCGGCGGCGAGCGCAGTGAGGAGGAGGATCACGAGGATGTGAGTGGCTTCGCGATCTAGGGATTCCGGGTTTCGACGAATTTGGGGATTTTTTTGCGGGGGAATTGATTCGAGAAAGTAGCGGAGCTTGGTGAGGAAGGAGAAAGTGTTTTGGTCTGAAATGGCCACTAACCGATCGATTTTCCAATTTTGTTTTGTTAAGTGGGCTAGGGTTTGGTTCTGGGTCGAATTAGGTTAATGGGTTGGGTTGGGTGTATGACATGGCGGGTTTAGTGATGTGGCGGGTCAGGTTTGACCATTTTCGGTCCAAAATGGTGCTGACTAGGCATTTCCGTTAGCCACGTCAGCACATAACGGACTCCATTAACGGAGTTGGATGGAGACTAACGGAGAGTGACTAAATGTGACCTGTTTCAGTAATTACAGTGACTAAATTTGATATTAATTTTTTCTAGTGATTAAACATGACACAATTTAGTAATCATAATGACCAAATGTGGCATTAACCCTTAAATTTAATTACCCAATAGAATCCTGAATCGCTATTCGTCGCCCTAAAATTTAAATTTTATCGCCCTAAAATGCATCAAATTGACACTTTTACCCTCTGACCTCAATTTCTAATCAAAACCTTAATCAAACAACTTCATACCCTGCCCTGCCGCCGCCGAGCTCCACTGTCCTCCGGGCGCTGTTGCCGCTGTCGGATTCTTCTCCCCGACAATTGCTCACCTTAACCCGACCGCAACCGATGCTCTGCTTCTAGCCGGAGGAGGAAGAAGACAGAGAAAAAGGAGGCCGCCTCCCACCTCCTGCTGCCGCCGGATTCTTCACTCAGACCCACAGCCCTCCTTTTGTCAAGAGTTGGTAGAAACCTTCTCTCCAACAACATAATCCCATTCCCAGTGAGAAACGCCTTGAATTAACTTAAATTTCTTTCTTCTTAGATTACTTCATGAGGTTTAGAGTTAGAGTTTCCAATTGAAATAAACTGAACACAATCCATACAATTTTTCAGAAAGAGTTCCAAACTGACCCCTTAAGAATTGAAATGACGAGCAACAATTCGTTCCAGCAAAATCAGCCATACATGTAAAGTCGAGGGATCGTGATTTCTAGAAAGAAAGGCGTCGAAGAACATTCTAGGGAGAAACCTATCACCATCCCACTCAATGATACCGGCAACCATGTATTACAAATATTAAACTAAGGATATTTGAGTCATTTCGATAAAATTTAGGGCGACGAATAAGGTATTTTAGGGCGACGAATAGCAATACCCATAGAATCACATATTTTCAGTGATGAGAATCCCGTTTGAGTTTTTGACCAAACTTTGCAATTTACCCATCGGAACAAAAACAAAGGTTCGATGAGTTTCTACTTTCCGCCGCACAAACAAGGGAGAGAAATAAAAAAAACAGAATATATGAGTCGAAAACCAGAGCTCCGGGCAGGCAGGTTCCATGAGTTCTGACCCGGCTACGGATTTATGGTTGGGGTCTATGAGTTTTGGTGTCGTCGCCGGCGGCGGGCTCAGATCCCGCAGTGGTGAGACTTGGGCGTTTACCAGGAATAGGGTAAGCCTCCGTTTAGTTTGTTTATCAATTAGATCTGTCTCTCTCTCTCTCTCTGTTTCTGGCCTTTCTCTGTTGTAGAGTAGTAAATCCGATCCGACTAGGGGAAGGAAAAGATTCGCCGATTCCAATTTAGTTTTGGATTCCAGTCGGGACTCTATAAAAATTCGATCTTTGATTTAGAAATTAATAAATAGCACCAGGAGGCTTACTGCCTTGGCCAGATTAATCCTTCCGGCCGGAATACTAAGAAAGGCCGATGGCAGAATTGAACAATTGGTCTGAACTGCCGGAGGAGCTTCTGTGTATGGTTAATCAACGGTTGGTCAAGTTGAAGGATGTTATCCTATTTCGTGCCGTTTGCAAGCCATGGAGACGAAGCCTGGATTGTAGAAAGTTTAGGCAATCCGTGCCGTGGCTGATGCTTCCGTATTGCAGCGACGACGCCGTTAATAGTTCGCCGTCGGAGGAGGGATGCAAAGCTAGTGACAGCTGTAGGCGGTTTTTCGATGTGGCCGAGCAGACATTTCGTCACATCGAGTTGCAGGAAGGCCTAGACAAAACGACCTGCCGCGGCTCTGCTTTCGGCTGGGTGTTCACTCTGCAGAGGACACCTTTTATGTTCTTATTGAACCCTCTAACCAGAGAACAGATCCAGCTGCCCCCAATCACAAGTTTTCCTGATGTGTTGAAGTACCGCCCCGAGAAAATCGGTCATGAATTCTTGCGTCTCAGTGATTCTGGCCGCAAGATAGCGCAGGGAAAGAAGTTCTTTGAGTCTACATTCATAAACAAGATGGCTCTCTCTGCTGATCCTTGTGCGGAAAAGGACTTCGTTGTGATGGTTATACGCTCTCTTGACGGTCTTAGGCTAGCGTTTTGCAGACCTAGGAGTGACGAAGCATGGACGTTGGTTCCTAGCCCTAGCCCAGGGCCGGAGCGAATTTGGTTTAGAGATGTTGTGTTCTGGAGGGGTCAATTTTACGCTTTGGATGGCAGGTTCAGGGTTTTAACTTGCGATACTTCCATCCCGGGGCATCCACGACTCCACTGGTTCATTGACCGTGAACGGGGTGGATTTGAGAATGCCTACTTATCCGTGAGTCCAACGGGAGACGGATTGATGATGGTGGCTAGATATATAAGTTTCCCCGAGGATGATGATGATGATGATAATGGTGATGCTGATATTATTCCAGTTGATGATGTCCCGGAAGATGATGAAGCTGATATAGTTTGGCTCGACCAAGACTCGGACGATGAACACAGCATCGACCCTGGGGTGAATTTAGATAGTAAGGTTCAGAACACAATTCGGTTCAAAGTTTTCAAGCTGAAGGAGGATACAAAGGAATGGGAGGAGGTTGGAAGCATTGGTGAATATGCTCTTTTCCTGGGCTTCAACACTTCAACTTACGTCTCTACTCGAGATCACCCGGAGATCATACCGAATTCTATCTATTTCACGGATGATATGCTTGATTACCATTACAAGAAGGTGCTAGGAGGTTCTGACATGGGGATTTTCAGCCTCTCCACCGGTAGTGTCCAGCCATTATACGATGCTATATCAGTTCACAGTAACCCTTCATTCATTTCTCCATATCCTGTCTGGTTCCTACCGTCCAATGTTTAGTTGGATCTTTCATACCTTTTCTTTTCCGACATTGGTAAAAGAGGTGTTCATGTTATTGTATGTACTCTAGTCAAGAAGGACAATGCTCATCATGTACTGATTTGTGAATTTTTTGTATTGAAGATAAATTCCGCAAGTTGCAATATGGCAGGTGTTCATCCAACATCTCAAACTTAGAACCATTAAGTTCAATCTACCCACGGTCTTTTTTGCAGGTTTTTAGCTAGAACCATTGATTGTACTTGAATCGTAATGGTCTGGTTTGCTTCTTTTCACTCTACCATGGGAAACTTTGAAACTTCTCATAGGAAGATCCCTGCACCAGCATCCTCGACCCCACGCTTTTCTTCATCAGCAGCAGCTATGAGTTTTCTCCACTGACAATAGTGAAAGTGGGCAAGTTGGATCCTTCTGAGGCCAATACAAAGTTATGTTCCATTTTCAATGGTGAACCCAAAAGAAGACCCACCAAAAGCTTTGCTGTGAAGCTTCGTATCTATGAACCTAAGGTGTAAAATTTCAAACCCAATATTCCAATTGAAGGTTTCAATATTAGGATTCAATCATTACTGACATAGTTCATTCTCCTTTGTTTGCAGGTGTGGCTTTATATTTGTGCCTATGTTTAGTTAGGTGATGTATACTGGTGATTAGTAGCAGCATCACTTTGAATGTTCATCTTTTTCCCGCCATGGTGCTAGAGGAACTATTGGTCAGGAGAATTAGGGTTGTTTTTGTTGAGATCCTGGTGTGTGCGGACAAGTGCTATCTGCTATGTCATGTATGTATATCTAGAATGTATGTATACTGTAGGTTCTTTAAAAAAAAATGTATACTGTTGGTAGCTAATTATATTATAATTATGTAACAAATCTTATTATTTTGTGTAGAATTTGGCAGGCGAGCACTTGGATTAAGCTGCATTTGCATTTTTAAACTTCAATACGCCCAAATTTTGTTTACCAGATGTTGCATTATAGAAGATCGTTGTTGTTTCCAACCAATTTATACTTAAAACTCGTATCATGTAAAAGTAATGCAATGCCAGCTTAAATCACATTGTGATGCCCAGGTGATCGTTGAGAAGATCCGAAGGGTGATCAGAGATAGTCGAAGGGTTGAGATCAGAGATAGTCGGGTGGGGTCCATTATCAACCAAGATCAAGCCAAAACGCGAACCCTCGATCATTTGTTTCTTTTCTATATGCGTAATATAGGTTTGTTTTTAGCTATGTATTATTCAAGAGATTTAAATTTGGACCTCTTCAAGAGCAATGGTATTACTAGTAAGCTAGACCCTTTTTCACAACCCTCGACTATTTGTTGAGTGCACTCATTGGGATAATAATATAATATACATAGTCATAATATTAACAAGACTTTATAAATTACCATGGACGGTATGATTTGAAATTGTAGAATTGAATCAAGATGAATTGGTATGTTAAATATTGTCATAGGACTCTGATGGGTTTAGTTAATAGAGAATAATCATGTATTAGGAGTCAGTAGCTTAACTTGGAAACATGAATGTGTTCGATAATTGGTACAAATAATAACTTATATTCGGTCAAGATAGCAAAACCCTTCATTGAAGTTGCATGCAAAAGACAACAAAAAGGTTTCAAAATTATTTAAGGTTTCATAATTATTTACAACAACATTAAAAATGAGAATTTAAAAATAACTTAACCATACATAAGAATATTTCTTTTTATTGCTTATCCATCTATCCTCGATAAACAGTGTAAAAAATTGTTCAGCACGTATGATCACACAAATAATAAATTACAGACCTAAAAAAACTTTATTCTCACCAAATAAATCAATTAACATAAATTGGAAGAAGAAAACCCACTGCAGGGGCTGGCACTGCACACACAGACTGCTTTCACTGTACAACGTGACTCAGTTGTACTGTTCTATCCTGGCGTTGGCTGGTGTGTGGGCGGGCGTTGGCTGTTGCCTATTTGGAATCGGAAGGGATTTGCAAGCTCGGTTGGAATGGAACCGGTAGTTACGCATTGTGTATTTGGGTTGTGGGCTGTTTGGTTGTGCTCGCTCGCGTTGGTCGCACAGGATCTCGCTGTATCCGGAGAAAGCGAGGTGTTGTCAGTTGCTTCGTTGTTCCCGTTGGTGAGTTGACTGGTGGGGGCTTGAAAAAGCCTGGGTGGTTCGTTGAGAGTAGTTTCCCCACTTGGTGGTTCTGCAGATCGGAGGTGGGTGGTTCGTTGAGAGTGGTTTCCCCACTTGGTTGTTCTGCAGATCGGAGGTGACATATTTGCCTTTGCTTTTTATTTCTTTTGCCTCAGATTTAAAGCCGTCGATTTGGCTTGCTGGGCGTGGTTCTCGATTTCTTTCAAATCAGATTTGGCTTGCTGGGCGTGCCGTCGATTTGGCTTGCTGGGCGTGGTTCTCGATTTCTTTCAAATCATTGCAGGGCAGGGCTGTTCAGTAATGTTGCCCTATTGCCCATTTGTTTATCTTCCAATCCTCGAGACTGTGCCCTTGGAGCAAGACTTTCTTTCTCTTTCTTCTACACTCTCTCTATTCTCTTCTCCTCTCTGGTCATAGTTTCTCAGGCTGGGTTTATTTGCTCTGTTGTTCGACGGTTCTTCATCTCTCAGTCTTGATAATGGACGCTACTTTGTTGTGTAATCTCAAAGGAGGCAGCAGAGAAGTTACTCTCCGTTTGCGACTGCTTCACATGTGGTTTGCTAAGAATCCTGATGGTACGAGAGTGTTCAATCATTGCTGTCTTTGGGTAGATCAAACGGTAAGCTTGGATCCTCTTTGTGTTTACCTTCCTCATAGGGCACAGTCTGCTCTTTCTTATTGTTTCTTGAGATTTTATTAATCTTTCACTCTTTTTTGTCCTTTTTCGTTGGCTGTGTGCAGGGCATGCTCATTCAGAGCCTTGCTGATGCAGCCTTTGGTCATGATTTTGAGCGGGTTCTGCGTATTGGTGTTGTTTATGTGATCAAGTCTTTTGGTCTGGGTGTGGCGAGGAATCTATATCGAGCCTGCTCTTTTGATCTCATCATGGAATTATCGGTTACCACAACTTTCCAGGCATGCTCTCTCCCCGCGGCTGATTTTCCTGCTGACTCTTTCGAGGTTGTGCCATACAGTGACTTGCCAAAGCGCACTGGGGATCACCGCATCCTCTCGGGTATTTAGCCATTTGCTTTTACATTTGCTATTTGTTGTTTTTGTTTGTTTGCTTATTATGGTTTGCTTCCTGAACTTTTCCCCAGATGTTGTTGGACGTCTTCATTCCATTAGTGGGATTGATCATCAAGTCACCAGTAATGGATCCACTCCAAAACAGTCCTTGGTCCTTGAGAATGCCCAGTACGGATTTGTGTGTCCTATTTAGTGGATTGATGGTTTTCCCCTGTATTTCTTTTTATTCTTTGTTGAATTGGTTTTGTGCTCTTAGGGGGCAGAAGGTTGCCATTACTCTCTGGGGTGATTTGACTACAGTCTTGGATCGTGCTGCTCTGGTTCAGGCTGATTCCATTGAGCCAGTCATCATTGGGGTGGGGAGTCTCATGGTTGGCCGCTTGATAGGTATTCTTTTGTTCTTTGTTTTTTTTTTTGTTCTGTGAGTTGCAGTGGCCTTCCTGATTTTGCCTTTGGGTGTTGTTATTTTTGTTAACTATTGATGTTCAGTGGGTCAGTACACCTGTTCAAGTTCTTCTGGCACCCGTATAGTTGTTACCCCTCGCATTCCTGAGGCATACAGCCTTACAACTTTGTGAGTATTGGTTTTCCCTTTTCTAATTTGTCTGTACTACTTTTGGTTGTGTTTGTTTTACCTTGATGTTGATTGTTGCAGCTTCGGTGGAGCTAGGAATCCTGTGACGGAACTGGCAGTTCAATTTGCAACACCTGAAGATGCTGCTGCTGATGCTCAGCGTCGTACAAGGACGATAGCTGAGCTGCTTGATTTGTACCATAGCGGTGGTTCGGTGGTGCGTGTTATAATTTTGTGGTTAACTTTGTTTGTTTTGGTTATTTGTTGTTTCATACCTGCATATTTTTTCCTTGGTTGATTTCTGATGTTTTGTATTTTTTTATTAAATTATGTTTTAATAGGATGAAAGGCATCGTTGTGGTGGGATAATAAGATCCGTTGAGTCTCGCAGTCCATGGTACTACACATCATGTAACATGTGCAAAAAGAAGTGTTCTACGTGGAGGAATGGTAACTATTGGTGCCCAGATCATTGGGAGATTTCTGAACAGCAGGTCACGATTGGGTAAACACTCATTTCACCTGTTATGAAATTTTTCATTTTTTAGCCTGTCGTGAAGACTCTTTTTGTATGCTGGTTGATTATTTTGTGGCAGAAGATGGAATCTAATTGTTTCTTCCTTTGCTCTGTGTGTCTGTCTGTAGGTACAAGATACAGCTGACCTTGCGTGATTCAACAAATGAAGCCCGTTTTATAGTTTTTGGACCATGTGGAAATAATTTGGTATTCACATCTGCTCAGCTTCTTGCCCAAAGATATCCTCATAGGCCTCACCAGCTTCCACCTGAGCTTGAGGCATTGTTGGGCCAATTTGTTAGATTCGAGGTCAAACTTCCTATGATGGGTTCTAATGGAGTGTCAACAGGGGAATTCAGGGTTTTTTCGGGTTCTTCCCCGGGATAATCAAGAACCACTTCTTGCTATAGAATCTGTAGTGCACCCAACTGTCAATCCTTCTGTCCCTCAAGGTGTTGCTGAGCAAGGTGGAATGCTTTTGTTGGCTGGGGTACCTGAACCATCCCAAGTTAGCTGTTCTGCTATCGCTCCAACAAGGTTTGGTCACTTTCTAACCCATTTTGTTGGTTCTTTCAGGAGGTATGTTTTAAAATGCTCTGGGGGCCCTGCTCTGATTGTCTGTCTTGATTTTATTTAGCTCTTCCAAAGGCAAGGAAAAGATATCAGGCACAGTGCTGACTGGAAACTACAATCCAACTTTCAATATTACTCAGGCAGCAGGGCAACCTCTCAGGTTATTTCTTAATATATCACTTAGTCAATTATGTTTTGATGGTTTGCTTGGTTTCCTGCCCTGAATCCGGGTGGCACTAACATGTTTTTGCAATATCTTACAGTAAATCTCATGGTCCGTTGGTCATCAAGGAGAGTTCTGGTGTTAGCAATTTGGGAATTCAGTCTCCGCAGGAAGGTGTTTCAAGGAGAGCATTTTCAGCCTCTGATAGTGTTGCCAGATACAGCAATCAGGATTCTGTGTTTGCTGTTTCAGCAAATGAGGGTTCGCTGCCTGTCAGTTCTGTTGGTCCTCCCCAAGATACTACCATTAAGGTTGTTGCTGATGTGAAGATTCCAGAGACACCCCCATTTTTAGTAAACAGTGATAGGGCGGATCTGATGAGTTCTTGCAAGCAGAAATCTTTGGATTCGTTGTCAGCTGTTATGGGAGACTCTGATACTCCCCAGAGTAAAATTAGGAAGACATCATCTTCAGCCCCACCCTTTTCATCACCTTCTGATACTATGTGAGAAATTCCTGCCTTTGACAATGTGCATTGGCCAAATATACATCTTTGTTTGATTTGGTTGTTTGCACTCTAGGTTGGCTTCACCATTGGTCAAGGTGAAAATTGAAAAGCTAGAATCTTTTGAGTCTAAGGAAGGTGTCAACAAGCAAGCTAGACAATTAACTCAGGATTCTGCTCCATTATCACTTGGTGACCTGAGTGATTTTACTCCCCAGAGTAAAATCAAGAAGACATCATCTTCAACCCCACCCTTTTCATCGCCTTCTGGTGCAATGTGAGTGTTTCCTACCTTAGACAATTAGCATTGGCCATATATGCATCTTCTTTTGGTTGATTAGGTTCCTTGCACTCTAGGTTGGCTTCTCCATTGGCAAAAGTGAAG